ATGGAAATTTATTATTCCATTCACGCCCGCTGGTTGCACGGGCACGCGAGGTTAAAGTAATTGAAGCCAGCTGTTCCATCGGCGAGATAACATCCCGTCGGAAAGTTGAATCAGCGCGGAGTCTAATAAGAACGCTGATAAAGCAGGCCTAATTAGAAACTCCGGCGAGCACGGGTTATCATTACACCACAGATTCCGTGCGTTCCGGAAAAACTGGATCCCGTTGAAGGATTCAATTACTAACACTAATATCACGGTGCAGGAAGTGTCCCGTAACCACGGGTTTCATAAATTAGTCAATTAGATCGATTATTTTCCGTGTCCGTGGCGGATCGTGGGCTCGGTCGGAAAGTGTTTTCGATCCTCTCGCGCCGGACATTGTAGCGATTTCGCTCGGCGCGCGAGCGTGGCCGTTCAGACCGCGTTAACCGACGTTTCGGCGTGTTAATTGTCGATCCACGCCGATTAACGACCGCTCGCTCTCGCGCGCGAGCGGTCCACTGTTCCGTCCGGTCACGTTTTTCGCTAATCTGCTTTCACGGTTGGCCAATTACGCGCCGCGTGAGACGCCTTTCTACATTCCGCGGGTAATAACGAGCCACGGTGACTGGCTGCGCCGAGATTTTCCTGTTGCGTCCGTCTATCGGCCCGAGCGTTATGTAATTACCGTTCGGATATTTGTCCTGTCACGATCGAACGGCGACGATCATCGATGGATCGTAATTGCGGGCCCCGGGCCCGCACTCTCGCGCATCGACCCGGCGCGTTCTAAATATGCAACCGCGCACGGACGACTACTAGCTTCAATTACGCAACCGAGTATTTGTTTAATGGGGTACCGAGACCACTGTGATTTCCACGGTGCGCGAGTTCCATCGCGCGGCCCGTACGCGCGACGTGTGTTATTAGTTTTTTCCAGAGATGAGGTAATAGAGAGGGATTGAATGGTAATGAGCCAGTTAATGTGTAACGATTTTTTCGCGCTCGCCTGTGGGTTCGCGCGAGGTCGCCCGGAGTCGGCTTCGTGGAAGCAATAATGAAATTATCCTCCGAGGATCCGTTTCTCTGAAGGTTGCATTTGCATTTAATACAAGCTCTGTCGTACACATGTAAGTGCTCCCATCTATTGCAGATTGAATCCACCGGTGAATAATTATATTCCACGCATCCGTCAAAATCATATCAAACGTAACGAACACGCTGTTCTCAAAGAAATTCGTTCGAGTAGCGTCGAGACTCGAACTTCTCCGATCGAATAGGGAAGAAGATCGATTAAAACGTAACGACGCTAATTGAACAACCGATTTCTCACCGGTCCGATAGAAACTTCGTTCCTCCGCTTTCTCCGAAACGCTCGAATCATTTTCCGCACCAGATACCGCGGGCAACGCGTCGAGCCGAGGGCCCGTTGCGCAGAAAATTCGACCACCGGGTTATCGTGTTTCCAGTAAATTAATTAAGAACCCGCGAGCCGCCGCTTCTAACGCGCCCATAAATATGGAAACGCGAGGGAACACGTTGCGAGCGTACTTTCGCGATTTCTGTAACCAGGTCGCGATACCGAGCCCATCGGGACTCGGACTTTCGTCGGTGGATGCGGGTGGCGCGGTTCGTCGTGGACTTCTGCCGAGATGCGGGCGGATTTCCAACGGACGATCGTTTCTCCGGCACGCGTCTGGAGTCGCGAGGAGTCAGCCCGACGGCCCTGAATAATTTCGTTGATTAAACACGGTGGAGGGAGAGGGAGGCAGCCCAGCATCCCTTGGCAATACTTCACGCCCCGAGCCGGCCATTCATAATCCGGCGAGCGGGCGCGATCGATTCGTCGCAGAGGAGTCGTTCAATATTCCTAATTGAAACCTCGCCGAGCGTTGCCAGTCTCCGCATTAATTTCGATCATCGCGCTCGCGACGGCGAATTGCTTATAACGAGCGGACCACCTTGTTTTTCACGTTATTAACAGACTCCGGCGGCGTGGAACTGCGTCATTCGAAATTCTTCAGTTGAATATCGGTAATACAGTCCTACGTTTTCAATTGTCTTAGCGGAGTGCCAGTAATGCAATCCTACGTCGTTTTATGTTTGTTAGGAGAACGGCGGTCATTGGATCTTACGTCATTTGATAATCTATAGCCGAGCGTTGACGATATAGTTCTAGCATATGTTTTTTGTATCCATATCGATTCGAATTGTAGATTCTTGGTGTATTCAGCTGTGGGCTTTGGGAATTATATGTAACAGCGAACGTGTTCGTTTGAGAACGATTCTTTCGTTGCTGGTATTTTCATCATGCTTTCCGAGCGCATGCAGGTAGGATGATTGTGGTAGGTGGATGGAAAAGCGGATGGAAAGACTGAGCTCGATCGAAAGAATGCAGAACCGCATGGGTGTATACCGGACTCGTAATGTCAGCGACTTTCACTTGTAAAGTGGTGCTAACTGTGCTGGCTGCGGGACGTTAATGATCACGGTTTCAGGGCTGCGAGTGTTCAATGTCAGGTGGATTTTACATTGCAAATGTTCGGAATTGATTTAACGTCGCACTGTCTTCGAGCAGAAGCGAACCAGATCAATCGAAGGGAATATAGAAATTGCGGACAGCGTGAAAACGATTCAAGGTGCTTTGAAATATTCGATGCAATCGAGTCGGAGTATACGTTGCCTCTGCATCTGCAGGCTGTTCGATCTTAATTAGCGTGCTTTTTGACTGTCGTCCGAAGGAAAGCTCGACAATAATGGGATAATTCGATCGGGCCGATAAAGATCGATTTCACGGGCATCTCGAGATAATGGCGACGTTCGTTAACGACGTTCGTTAACCGTTCGGCAAACATAGCTCTAGGATGTCCGCGGCACGTCGTTACCGGCGCAAACAGCATAATGCCGCACGTGTCACGGTTCTCCATTCGGAGAGCGGAGAAAAGTGCTTCCGATGGCATAAGACCCTAAGGGACCCGGCCACGTGTCCGAGCGGAGGGCAAACACAGAAAGTAGACGCGGCGTTCTCCCCTTAGATGGGGATTCTGCGGTGATGGATTCAGTCGGCCGTGAAACGCGAGACAGAAACTTTAATCAAGTGCACTATGAACCGAGTCTCGTGACGTTGATTGAAGTCGGTATTCAGAGTACTACCTATGCAATTGGCAATGCTCGCGGGTTTCGTTTTACGTTTCTAAACTGGAAATTAATCCTCCGGAATAAACGATCCGGCGTAAAATCCGCGGAACGATTCGAGTTTATGCGAAACGCTCGATTTATTTATTATATTAGGAGATTCACCACCTCGGTAACAGGATCGAAAGATCGTCGATTCTTCAGTTTTATTGCGAGCAATTAATCCAACGGGCTGTCACTTATTTTTACCGGCGACCCGAGACATCCGAAATAAATGTTAATTTCGCCGGTTCGTTTTTTAATCTCGATTTCTATCTCAATCCACGTTGGATATCGAGAGCGGGGAACAGACGTGAAATTCACGGGCGTGGGCAGATCGATTTATGGGAGGTTTTACGCCCTTACTCTGCCCACCTGGATCCCAAAGAAATATACCCGATCGTCCCGATTACAGGCGTAAATTTGTGTTACAAACTCGAACAGTTGCGCGACCCATCTATCTCGGTTTATGAGAGAGAGGCCCGGTGCGCCCCGCGTCGCGCACCGTGGGACGCGATGCAGTTTCGTCACGGGTACTCAGCCCGGATCGTCCTTGTTCCAGGATGTTACTGATCCATGTCCAACGGGATTTCACGGTCCCCTGATCGCTGGTGATATTGCTCTCGTGGAAAGGGCTGGTGTGCTCAACCGTGCGGGATAGATTGAAAATTGAACGGTTCATTCTCCCCCCTTCTCATTGGCTCGGCGAGGAGACGCACTCCGAAAACGTATAAATAATTGTAACACGTTCCGATGGGTTTTCGAACCTTTAACTCCACAGTTTCATTCTAATTACAATGCAATTTAGAAACAGAACAGATTAAAGAGAACCGCAATTGTAAATTCAAAACTTGAAATATTCAAAAATCTATATTACGAAGAGTAAAATCTTCGGTTAACTCTGATTCCAGTAGTATATGTCGCAAATTCTTCAAACGTACGGTCTATTATTCACGAGAGTCGAATGCGCTTGAGACATTTATTGTTGTGGTTATTGGTAAACCTCGACGTGTAAAAACGAGCAAATTTCGGGTTGTTATAGATGAACACCCTCCAGATGAAGTAGACCGCGTGTAAACAGTCCCTCGCTCGCCTCCGTGGGCAAATAGACAATGTCTCGTAGAGTAGACGGCACAGCCCCTGTCTCGTCGCTATGTCCCTTCTCCCCATATGGCGATTTATGGTCCCTCCATTAGGGCCGATCCCGCGCCGCACCGCGGGAGTTCCAGTTCGATTCGTAGACAACAGGGTATCGTTTCCGGCGAAGACGTAGGGCCGTCATTGTTCTCTTTTGTTGTAACCCGGCGAACGATATATTCCCGTGTGTTTACATACAATATCGTATTCACGGTAAACCCGAGCAAACACCGCCGCGCGCGTAGATGATTCTCCACGGTAGGATTTACGAGCGTGTCACGTGGATCACGCAACGTTTCGCGAACTCCGTTTCACATCGGAACGCACCGTGTGCCCGGCGCCGACTGCGTGATGGGTGATTTCAATGCCGGCGCGAGAGAGAAATCGCGTGCGATTTACATGGCTGAACTGTGCGTTCGCTTTCGATAATTACCTTTCTTAAATTATCGCGAGTGGAATCGGCGACGTTGCGACACCTTTGCTAGCGGCAGCTGGCAGAAGCAAATTAGCCAATGCTGTCTCGAACAATGCTGATGTTTACCGTGTATAATAACGTAATTCGGTTCGCGTTTTCCTTTGTTTCTCCGTTGAAGCAGCGGTCCGGCAATGAAACGAAACGTTCAGACCACTGAATTCTCGTTAGAGTAAACAACGATGTTTAAGGGTATCGATCGAAAATGAAATACGAGCGTGGAATCGATCTGTTACAGAGACATCTTGACAAAGGCAGCGATCTAGCCGAGGCGGCGAGCGCGAGCGGTCTTCGCGAGCTCGCCAGATCCTTGAAGCAACACCTCCGAGGATTCGGTTCCCGCCTGGAGGACAGGCGCGAGTATCTGGAGGACACGTCGAGATGTTGCCTGCTACAAGACCGGGCATACGAGTGGGCCCAGGAGGCTCGTCTCGCTGGCGAAAGGAGGGCCCAGCAGTTCCTGATGGCCAGACCACCCCTGCCGCCCGAGCATTTCACGGAAATGATGGCGCTCGCAGAGAAGCTCGGTAACGAGATCCTTCTGGAACAATGCCGCATCGCCAGGAACAAGTGCGCGGAAGCCCTCGAGATGGCGAGGACGTCTTCCGCACCGGGCAGCCCGGCGAGGAGAAGGTCCTTCGCCGCATCGGAGTCTGCTACCTCCTGGGAGGACACTCTCGCCAAGAGTACGTAGCTTCAAGCACCTCAAACTCCAAAGTTTCATCTCATTATTACATCTATTGTCCTAATCGCTTTCAAACAAATATTCTGATATCCGATAATACTTCCTTTCCGACATTCTTAACCCTTCGCACTCGGAAGTTCCTCAGAAAGATTCAACACTTTCTGATGAGATCTAGACGACATTCTTTGAAATCAGCCTGAAGGATTTTACTACATCGAAGTGATGAATCCAGAGTTACCTCTAGATTGCAAAGGGTTAACGGAATGGTCGAAGCGAAGGCAGGCATTTCATTCCGATGAAATTCTTCAGTGCGAAAGAACAGTCCCTATGAAATACCCGATTCACCAGGAACTTCGTGGGATGACAGCGACAGCAGCGCATCGTACGCGTGCCCCATGGAGAGCATAGGATCGGCGGGCAGCGGAGGACGTCCCGTTTTGGACAACATCGCCGAGCTCCGCGAAAGCGCCGAACAACTTTTGGACTGCTCTCCGCCGCGAACGCCGCCCCGAAGCCCTGCCCCGCGACGACTGGTGAAGCCACCGGTGAACTCCCACCTCCACAGAGCGGCCAGCATCGCCCCCGGCATGAAGGCGAAAAAGTGCGTCGCGTTTCGTCAAATGTTAACCCCCTTCCCCCCTCTCGGCCAAGTCGTTCTCCTTTTCTTCACGTGGCACCACGCAATTAACGATGGACGCGCGTAATTACCGTTGCCAGTCTGATTAATATTCTCATTAAAAGTTTCCAGCGGCCGCGCGAAGTATACAGCCACCTCCGTACACCCCGACCCCGTAACGTGGGAGACCGCGGCCGGGGTCTTTCGCGTTACGTTTTTCGTACCGAAGATTTTCCTTCCGCGTTACCGACGAACACAATGCCCACTGTTTATCTATAATAATTCCGCGACGCGATTATGCGGAATTGTTACGTCGCGGTGGTGCGTCGTTAACGAGGAATTTCACCTTGCAGAACAATACTGCTCATAATGAGGGAAATGATACAGACCGAACGAGACTACGTGAAGTCCCTCGAGTACATAATAGAGGTAACTGTCCGCTAACGCGCGCACAGGCGCGGGCTGATCTTGACGGATGATTAACGGCGTTCTTTCTTGTCGAAGAATTACATACCGGAGCTGGTGCGCGAGGACATCCCCCAGGCGCTGCGAGGGCAGCGTAACGTGATCTTCGGCAACGTGGAGAAGATCTACGAGTTCCATAGTCAACACTTCCTGCGGGAACTGGAACAGTGCGAGCAGTCGCCGATGAACGTGGGACAGTGTTTCCTCAGACACGTGAGTTCCTGTTTCAGATTGCTCGTTCATTCTTTTACACCACTTTTCTTCGATTCCTGTGTATACGCACGTGTCTCTTTCGTAGGTTTCACTTCGTATGTTCGTTAGAATCTTCGACTGGTCTTGGGGTTTCTTTAATTAGTTTTATGCTTTAAACCCTTCTAACGTACTTCTGTATGTAAGACAGTTCACGTGACACGAACGGAACGAAGATTCGATCGTTATCGCTTGCTTGCACTTCTGAAGGCTAAGATTGACGTTTCAGACTGTATATACTTTGTCTAATGTCTTCGTGCTGTTGCTTGCTCCTCTGTTGTAGGAAAAGAAGTTTTACCTGTACGCGCTCTACAATAAGAACAAGCCGAACTCGGATTCTCTGATGGCCGAGTACGGCACCACGTTCTTCAAGCAGAAGCAGCTCGAGCTGGGCGACAAAATGGACCTGGCCAGCTACTTACTGAAGCCGGTGCAACGAATGGGAAAGTACGCGTTGCTACTGCAGCAGCTGGTCAAGGCAGGTACCGACCTCTCCGAGCAAATGTCCGGCAAAGAGGAAAAGGAGGAAAAGGAAGACGGTCTAAAGCCGATGGTCGAGGGGGAGGCAGATTTGAGGGCGGCCGAGCAGATGGTGCGGTTCCAACTGCGCCACGGGAACGACCTGCTGGCGATGGACTCTCTTCGAGACTGTGACGTACGTGTGAATCATTGTTTTCCGTTCGAATGACGAAGCAGCGAGTAGACGGCGGATCTTTATGCATTAATGGTTCACGAGACTTGTCAAGAAATAAAATACAAGGATGTACAACATAATTTGCGATTACTCTTCCAACTTCTTAAAACTCGCTCGCTTAAACATCCGCCGTCTAGCAACGAACGACAAATTACGGGATCCGATAATATACTAACAAGTGATGATGTAGTTGAAGAAACAGTCGCGTCATCGGTGCTGATGCAGCGTGTATGTAATGCGTTTCTCTTATCGCGGTGCTGCAACCGTGCGGAGAATAAGAAACGACGGTATTTATAGGTGAACGTGAAGGAGCAGGGCAGGCTACTCCGACAAAACGAGTTCCTGGTCTGGCAGGGTAAAGGCAAGAAGTGCCTGCGACAGGTCTTCCTGTTCGAGGACCTTATTCTCTTCAGCAAGGCGAGAAGATTTCCCGATAGGAAGGTAAGCGGGACGCACGGGGCAGCCCTCGAATAACCGAGTTAATGTAGCTTAACGCTAGTTACTTTTGCCACAACGTTTCACTTCCTTACGCCGTGATAATTTTTGTGAATACAACCTACCGTGTTATACGAGGGTTATCTTTGCATTCCCGATCGTTGCTCGCGCACTCTTGTTCCTGCCGGTTTCGATCGTGGGCGAGACCCGATACGATACGTTCGCCCGTTCCAGAACCTGGACATCTACATCTACAAGCACAGCATCAAAACGACGGACATCGGGCTGACCGCGGTGATCGCCGACTCGCCCACGAAGTTCGAGATTTGGTTCCGCAAGAGGAAACCGAGCGACACGTACACGCTGCAATGCGCGAGCGAGGACATTAAGAAAGCCTGGACGGAGGAACTGAGCAACCTTTTATGGAAGCAGGCGCTGCGAAACAGAGGTACGAACGCTATGTGTTTTGACGTACGGCTCCGGAGCCTTCCCTCGCGGACGCGGCCTAACGAGAAACGCCTTTTGCGATCCGCAGAAGCGCGCCTGGCGGAGATGTCGAGCATGGGCATCGGAAACAAACCTTGTTTGGACATTAGGCCTAGCGCGGATCAGATCAATGACCGTTCGATCAGTGTAGCTCAACTCTCGAAAAGTGAGTACCGACGTTGTCCCGGTTACTGAACGCCAGCGCGTGGTTCGAATATTAATTGGCCGTTGTTCGAACAGCACCTAGATTTAGGAATTCGATAGCAGTATCGATGTCCGAGGACTCCGGCCGCTGCAGCAGGAGGCCGCACAGCGTGATCTCCGTCAGTTCATCGTCGAGTAGCGGCGGCAGCAGTGGCCCGCCTACCACCTTGAACCTCGGCTTGGACACGAGTCCTCGACCTCATCATCGTAGCACCACGCTAAATAGCCAATGCAGCGTTGGTACGTAATGCTTTTAAACCGTTAACCCTAGAAGGACCAAGGTTTCGATACCGAACAACTCACTTGCATACCGTGATTCATCGATACCAATTTTGAAGACATAATAAATAATCGAGAAACAAGCTATTCTAGACGATAAATAGACTTGATCCGCGACCTAGTTAGTCTTTCTAGGGTTAAAATCACCGATCGGTGGTACAGCGCTGTGTAATGTCCTTGTACCGATTCCATTACAGAAAGTGGCATAATAGCCGACATTTCGATCGTTTCGGACGACGGTGGTGACGGTACAGAGAGAAGTCATTGGAACTCGACCCTAGAGAGTCCTACGTCCCACCTGCCAACCACGTCCACGCCTCTCCAATCACCGACCAGCGCGACCGCAACGACAACAGTTACCTCGGCTTCTTCGTCCGACACTAATCTCGCACCCTACGACCAAGACATGTCCATTAATTTATAAACGCAGCCCCTGAAAAGGGCCGCCCTTTAACACAGAGCAGAGTATATGTTCTCGATTCACTTGCAAGTTGTCTGGCGATGGGTTACCAGTGTGGCTCACCCGAACACGGGCGCAACGTGTCGCGGGAACGTGTACCGGTTTAGTGTATTCAGAAGCGAGTATTTTCTTGGGCGATCGTAGCAGGGAAAACGTTGCCCGTGCTTCGATTTTTAGACGAAAGTATGGCGTCCTACGCTTACCGTGAGTTCCGTAAATGGCCGCCGCCCGTTCCGCGAGCGATACGAATGAGAAAGACGGACCTCGAGGCAGGGGCACACACTACAGAGAGACAGAAACGTTCCGGGTAGCTCAACTTTCAAGTGAATTTATCTTTTGATACGCTTCGAACACACACACATACCATACACATACAGACACGTACGCGTGCACACGGAAATACACATACACACAGAACACACATATAGACACACACACGTGTTTCACTGATCCACGCGATCGCATAGTTGTCACCGT